GTGCATAAATCCATATAAACACTGCTGGCCGGCCAGCCAGCCTGGTGACCCAACCGGGTAAACCTGGGCCCAACAGCCTCCAGCTGCAACCACTTATATAAAACTAGAGGCCCAGTGCATGAAATTTGTGCACGGGGGTGGGGGGTGTTCCTCAGCCCAGCCTGCACCCTCTCTAATCTGGGAACCCTTCCCAATTCGCCTTGTCCCTTCTGCCTTCTCCCACGGTGCCGGCCTTTTCACCTTCTCCCTTCTGCCTTCTCCCGTGGCACTGACCACCCTTGAGTCACCTCAGGCTGGTCTCGCATTCTCCTGGCACCTCCCTGCTTCTGCCTCATCTCTGGAGCAACGCCCTGCAGCACGCATAGGAGCTAATAAAGAGCTAATATGCTAATGGTCCGGTCATGACCCATTAAGGCTTCCCAGCTAATTTGCATATTACCTCTTTATATGTATAGATTATATGTATAGATAACTTGATGGCAACTCTTGGTTAAATAGAGATCCTTATGTGCTGGGACCTGCCACCACCCCTATGCCCCTGAGAGGTGCTGTGTCCACTGGATTCTGCCTATTGGTGGTCAGAGCCAGCTGTGGGTCCAGTTCTGCCAGATCTTCTGGTTTTCCAGAAATCCTGATGTTTTGGCGTGTGCCAACTCCTGATTTTTAAAAGTGGGCAACTGGTTCTTATTAAAAACATAATCGTGGCCGGCAAACCCACCCAGGGACACCCGGTGGTGGGGCTGCCCCTATGCCCCTGAGAGGTGCTGTGTTCACTGGATTCTGCCTATTGGTGGTCAGAGCCAGCTGTGCCTATGCCTGAGTCTGCTAAGTGTCCTCAGGACAGTGGGACCAGGACCCTAGGATATATTCTTCATGTTTTTTTAAATATATTTGTATTGATTTCAAAGAGGAAGGGAGAAGGAGAGGGAAATAGAAACATCAATGATGAGAGAGAATCATTGATCGGCTGCCTCCTGCATGTCCTCCACTGAGGATCGAACCAGCAACCTGGGCATGTGCCCTGACTGGGAATCAAACCGTGACCTCCTGGTTCATAAGTCGATGCTCAACCATTGAGCCATGCTGGCCTGGCCAGGATGCATTCGTAGCTCTATCCTGACAGGGAAAAGGAGAGTGAACACAGTTAGGGGTTTAGACTTCGCTGTGCCCTTCTGGACCATTCTGAGCCCCTGTGCCCATGTCAGAATGATGAGGTTGCCCTGAGCATCACTTGTGGTAAGGGATGCAGAAGGATGAACTGGTGCCCACGGGGTCATTAGCACTGTGGTAACTCGAGGCCACTTTTCAAATGACATCACCTTCAGAGTGAGGTCATGGCGGCTCTCTGGTGACTTGCAGCCGTTTCTGTCTGGGAGGCTCTCAACCGGAGTCTGGAAACTGGCAGCCCCACCACCGGGTGCCCCTGGGTGGGTTTGCCGGCCACGATTATGTTTTTAATAAGAACCAGTTGCCCACTTTTGAAAATCAGGAGTTGGCACACGCCAAAACATCAGGATTTCTGGAAAACCAGAAGATCTGGCAGAACTGGACCCACATTCCCAAATGGCTCCGATCGAGTTGACCTGAGGAGCAGCCCCCTTAGGTGGGGCATGTGTTCTCCTGACCACTGCCATCCCCAGGCCTGCTCCCAGCTGACCACTCCCCTCGCTCAGACCTGCTCCCAGCTGACCACTGCTGCCCCCCAGGCCTGCTCCCAGCTGACCACTCCCCCCGCTCAGACCTGCTCCCAGCTGACCACTGCCATCCCCCAGACCTGCTCCCAGCTGCCCACTGCCATCCCCCAGACCTGCTCCCAGCTGCCCACTGCCATCCCCCAGACCTGCTCCCAGCTGCCCACTGCCATCCCCCAGACCTGCTCCCAGCTGCCCACTGCCATCCCCCAGACCTGCTCCCAGCTGCCCACTGCCATCCCCCAGACCTGCTCCCAGCTGCCCACTGCCATCCCCCAGACCTGCTCCCAGCTGCCCACTGCCATCCCCCAGACCTGCTCCCAGCTGCCCACTGCCATCCCCCAGACCTGCTCCCAGCTGCCCACTGCCATCCCCCAGACCTGCTCCCAGCTGCCCACTGCCATCCCCCAGACCTGCTCCCAGCTGCCCACTGCCATCCCCCAGACCTGCTCCCAGCTGCCCACTGCCATCCCCCAGACCTGCTCCCAGCTGCCCACTGCCATCCCCCAGACCTGCTCCCAGCTGCCCACTGCCATCCCCCAGACCTGCTCCCAGCTGCCCACTGCCATCCCCCAGACCTGCTCCCAGCTGCCCACTGCCATCCCCCAGACCTGCTCCCAGCTGCCCACTGCCATCCCCCAGACCTGCTCCCAGCTGCCCACTGCCATCCCCCAGACCTGCTCCCAGCTGCCCACTGCCATCCCCCAGACCTGCTCCCAGCTGCCCACTGCCATCCCCCAGACCTGCTCCCAGCTGCCCACTGCCATCCCCCAGACCTGCTCCCAGCTGACCACTGCCACCCCCTGGGCCTGCTCCTGGCTGACCACTCCCACCCCCTGGGCCTGCTCCTAGCGTTGTCACCTGCCTGGACCCTGTGGACGTTCGAGCTGCAACCCCCCCTGCAGAAAGAATGTCCACCTCAGGGGAGCGAGGGGTCCACATGGAGGTGACCAGGACCTCCCCCCCCAGACCTGTCAGTGTGCCAGGTGCTTTTGCTCCACTGTGACCCACTCCTCGGTTCCCAGAACCCCTTTGCTCTCCCCCCACTGCCCGTCCACCTGGCATGGGCTTCAGCAGCACTGCAGGTCCTTCCCGTTGCCTGGTTTACGGGCTGCCCTGCAAGCTGAGAGACCTCCCAGCGCCGTCCCAGCCTCGGGGCCCTCGTGTCTCTCGGGAAGCCTTAGAACAGGTCTGAGAGGCTCAGCCAGCAGCTCACAGAGGAGCAGGTCCCTCTGCCTCTGGGTCCTCTGAAGCACCCTGGCCTGGGGCGGGGCTTCCTGGATCCTCCCGGGGGGACCCTCCGTTCTCGTGGGCGGCAGAGCCCTGAGCAGAGTGCCGAGCAGGACCCTTCAGGAGGGTCTGCAGACACCCCGACACCCTCATTCGGCGTCCCGAGTGCTTGCCCCGGCCTGCTCGCTCGCGCGGGGCTCCAGCCTAGGCCGTCTGCCATTTTGAACACCACTGTGATGGATGCAGAGAGAGCAGTAGCCTGGTCTTCTGGAACATTCTCTCCCCTTTTGTCCTCCCTGATGTTTTCCATTCTCCCAGCCTGAGAACATGCAGTTCACGAGCCTTACAGGAACGTGATGCTAATTTTGCTCATTTAAAGAACCAGATGTCAGGCGATGGGAGCCCTCGCTGCACCATGGCTGCAATTCATCGTCATTGCGGCCCTGCACTTCAATCCCCGAGAAGCCTGACTCTCAGGAGCAAAACCTGTGTCCTCCAGCGTTTCCATGAGTTACAGCTGCTGGGGGAGCCTCCTATATCTATTTGGGGGGTAATTTGCAGTCTCCCCAGAACATTACCTTCATTCCTGGACCAGGACGACAGGATTTATAAGAAAAGCATCTGCGGTTAAGGACAGCCAGGCAGCGAGCAGAAATCCAGTGGGAGAGCCCCCCTTTGGCCCCGCACTGTGATCTTGGGGGAGGGGTTCTGAGGGGTGTGCTCCTATGTCCTTAGCAGGATAGAAGTGGGGGAGGGGAGCAGATTGGTGATGAGGAAGAACAGAGGGAGCAGATTGGAGAGTGGGACTGAGATGCCATCTGTGTCCTCCATACCTGCCCACAGGTGTGGCCACTGGAGCACCTTGCAGGGCCGGTCCTTACTTAGAACAATGGCAGGCGGCCTGCCTGGGGCCATGAGGTGCCCAGTTCCACACCCTGAGGCCGCTGTGGCTCAGCACAGAGCTCCCACAAGGAGGGCACTTGGAGAAGCGACAGTGCAGGGACGGGAGTGGTGCTCTGGGACCCGGAGCAGCGCCCTCTCCTCTCGGGGCCTCGGCATGCCCAGCAGCACAGTGGGCCCGCTGGTCCATCTCTAGTGAGCCCTCAGCTCTAACAACCTCAGGTGCTCGGCCAGTTAGCGGACGCGTCTCCACCCGCAGACCTCCACCACCACCATCCGGTGCAAGGCTCTGGCTGCTGTGTGCTCGGGAGGCTGAATTCCTCCCTCAGGCTGTCAATGCCCTCACCTTCCGCTTCATCCATTCCTCCTGCACCTGCGCTGCATTTCAGGATGGTCTGCAGAGGCTCCCGGCCCCCCGCCGGTCCCCCGCCTGCCAGGGAACTCACAGCCCCAGTGGCCCTACAGGACCTGCCTGCTGTTCAGGTCTCCGGAGGCCTGGCATGGTGACTGGGCCTGCCAGGGAACTCACAGCCCCAGTGGCCCTACAGGTGACTTGTTCAGGTCTCCGGAGACCTGGCGTGGTGACTGAACCTCGCAGGGGAGGGGAGAGCCTGCTCGCAGTGACAGGACCGAGCCCCCTCTAGGAAAACAAAGTCAATACCCACATCACCTGAGGAACCGTCACGTAGGTTCACTGGAGGACTCTGCGTGTGCCTGAAAGCCTGGCTTCCCATCCCCGTCTCAGCTGTGTGACTGCGGGCAGGTTGCTCCAGCTCTCTGAGCCTCAGTCACCTTAGCCCCAGGATGAGACCGTTTTAATGATGACACCCATCTGGTAGGCCTTGCTATGAGAATTTGATGTGATTCTGTTGCCAAACCCCTCACAGAATAATGCTCAAAACGTGGAGACTAGGACGTGTCAGTTTCTGTCTGGGATCTGGCCTGGTGAGGGAGCTAGGAGTTCTGCAAACGCCCAGCCCGTGGGGGGGAGGGGGTGGGTAACTGAACCTTTTGCTCCCCCCTCCTCTTAGGAAGTGCTGCTTACCGAGGGCATTTGTTGAAGACAGGAAGTTCAAGAATCACCTTTTCTTTCGTCCACACACTTTTTATTGTTTGTCCTATTTTGCATACTTTTTTGTTTATTTGTGTTTATTGAGGAATAATTGGCATACTTAGTTTCAAGGTTACAACATAATGACTCAACATTTGCACACATTGTGAAATGCTCACCACAATTAATCCAGTTGCCAGCCGTCACCATACATAATTACAACATTTTTTTCTTTTTCTTCTTTTTTCTTGAGTTGAGGACTTTTAGGATTTACTCTCTTGGCACCTTTCGAGTGTGCGGTACAGTATTGGTGACTGTAGTTAACAGAGAGCCCCTTTGTAAAACTAGCAGTCCCCGGGCATGGAAGAGGTGATGACCCTGAAAAGACTTTAAGCCCCGCACAGTCTGTTTCACAAAGGTAGCGGCCGGGGTTCCTGCCCCCAGGCACAGGTGCTGGAGACAAATGTCTGGGAGCCCAAGGCTGCGCTCTCCACCACCCCATCCTCACTCCAGGGGTTGGCTGCAGGGCCAGTGACTCCCTGCCTGCATCTGTCCTGACCCATCTGCCCCTCCTTCTAGAAACCTCAGTAACAACAAGATCAAGGAGGTGCGAGAGGGCGCCTTTGACGGAGCAGCGGGCGTGCAGGAGCTGATGCTGACAGGGAACCAGCTGGAGATGGTGCACGGGCGCATGTTCCGTGGCCTCAGTGGCCTCAAGACCTTGTAAGTGCTGGGGCCTAGGCCACGGCCTGGAGGGAGGTGCGGGGGGGTGCATCCGAGGGACTGCGAGGGCTGGCGGGCGGCAGACCAGGCCCAGGCACCTGCCTGGCCTCCTGAATCCCCTCCTCCTGGAGCCAAAGGCCTCAGACATTCCCAGCCCATGATGGGGAAGAACTGAGCATGCTAAGCAGCCCCAACACACGCGCACGCGTGCACACACACACGCACACACACACAGAATCATACCAGAAACATGCTGATAGAAGCACACAAACACATTTACCCACTAACAGTGACATATATACACGTACATAAAAATGACATATACAACATGCAGATAAATGCATACACAACAAGCATGCCTGCAAGCACACACATACACACACACACACACCACATGGTGTGGCCCTGCTGTGGGAAGGAGAGGGTAATGCCTGTGCTCTCGCATCCCCACCCCTCTCCTTGCAGGATGCTGAGGAGCAACCTGATCAGCTGTGTGAGCAATGACACCTTCGCTGGGCTGAGCTCAGTGAGACTGCTGTCCCTCTATGACAATCGCATCAGCACCATCACCCCCGGAGCCTTCACCACGCTGGTCTCCCTGTCCACCATGTAAGTCCTCCTGGATCCACTGCACACTCACCAGCTCCTCCCCTGCAGGCCTCCCCCCTCCCGGCTCCCTGCTATCTCTGCCCAAGGTCATCTACCCATCTGTCCACCTAACAACCGTCTGTCAGGCTCCCTTCGTGTGCCGGGCACACCTAGGTCTGAGGATGCACAGGCGTGGTCCCTCCTGGAGCTCACAGCGCAGTGAGTCACCACAGAACGAGGCCCCGGTGCTGTGGAAACCAGCATAGGCTCTGTCGGGGAACCCGGCGCTGTGTTCCAGGATGGGGGCTAGCTTGTCAAGTGGGAAGTGCAACTCCTCCCCTGGGAAGAGCTTGTGCAAAGGCCCTGTGGTGGCCTGGAGCAGAGCAGATACACAGGACTATGAGAGCCCAGCTTCGAGGGGTCTCATCAAAGGGCCACAGGGCACTTGAGCGGCTTTACTTTCCTCATTTGTGAAATGAGAATAATGCTGCCTCCATCCTAGGGTGGTTGTGACCAGTCAAGTGAGGGGAGGATTTATAAAGTGCTCTGCCTGGTTCCAGTCCTCTAAGTGACACACAGGAATTGATAGGTGCTATCATCCCTTTGTCCCTCCATCAACCCAATCTTTGCATCCTGCGGACATGCACAGAGTGTCTGTGCTGGTGTCACACCTGTGCCAGGGGACACAGAGACAGACCTGGGGCCTCCCCTTGGGGCAAACGTGGGGCAACCAGCTCTGGTGGGTGCCACGGAGGAATGAAGGTGAGTGATGGAGGAGAATTTGCTGAGGGTCCTGCAGGCCGAGGACTGGAGGCTGAGGAGGGCCGGCCAGGTGGACACTAGGGGCCTGTCCCCGCTGGAGGACCTCCATGTGTGAAGGATGTGAGTGAGAGAGTCGGCTAAGGAGCCAAAGGGAGCTCACAGCTGGGGCTCCGCAGAGAGGACGTGCGTGGCCAGGGCCCCGGTCATGGCCATCAGCCAAGGTCCGGAATGACACTTGCAAAGATTACATCTTGATTCAGAAGAATCTTCATTTCCCTTCCCAGACCTCCTCCCTCCTCCCCTGGGCCTGACCCTCTGGAGAGCTGGGCCCCAGGGTGCAGAACAGGACCTGGGCCTGACCCGCTGGAGAGCTGGGCCCCAGGGTGCAGAACAGGACCTGGGCCAGCTCCCACGGTAGAGGGTAAGCACCCAGAGAGGGCCTTCTCTCCTCCCAGAAACCTCCTGTCCAACCCCTTCAACTGCAACTGCCACCTGGCCTGGCTCGGCAAGTGGCTGAGGAAGAGGCGGGTCGTCAGTGGGAACCCCCGGTGCCAGAAGCCATTCTTCCTCAAGGAGATTCCCATCCAGGACGTGGCCATCCAGGACTTCACCTGCGAAGGTGAGGC